TATACTATATATATATATATATATATATATAGGAAAACGTTTATATAAGGTTGCAACCTTATAATGTAGAGCTACAGATGCACCTCAAAAATCCATCGGAAAAGGTACTTTTAATTTTGAAAACCTTTTGATCATCTCAACATCGACATGTATGACCATGAAAAATAAAAAAAAATTTAGTATCAGAAATAGTGTATTTTACAACATACTATATGCACCGTCCATTTTCAAGATTTTCATATGTTTATAGATCTACTTGATTTTAACCATTTTAAAATTTTATAATTAGATATAAAAATAGATTTTGAGATAATCCTAAGAACATTTTATATCAAAATTATATACCATGATAAAATTTGAAGGTGTACCTTACCTCTATAGCTACGAATGCATCCATATGCAAACTGCACCTATATATATAGCAATATGATGCAACAAGCTTAAAAAACCATCTTATAGCCATTTGTTTTACTCAAATTTTTAAATACACACTCTTTTCATTCTAATGAACAATCACAAAAAAATAAAAAATTGAAAACACTGACTATAAAGTATCTTTTTAGTCCAATTAACATAGGCCGTTCATTTTGGTAAGATACTTAGATCTAGGATCTAGAAGGATTTTTTTTCATTTCCAAATTTTTTGGTTGCCTTTATTATCATTAGATGAACAATGTTAAAAAAAGGAAAAAATGATTTTGAGTTTATAAAGGCTAAGATCTTGAAATTCACAAAATGAATGGTCTAGATTCGTTTTTGGAGGGGACTCATGTTGGCCATATCTAGGCTTCAAATTGATTTTTTTTTTTTGGGGATTGATTATTGAGATGAAGAGAGTGTGTGTGCAAAATTTAAGGTCATACAAATACCACAAATATGGTTTTTTAGAAGTTTCGTTGCATTATACTATGATACAACGGTTGCATTGGATCATTGCTCTATATATATATAAACTAAAAGATAGAAAACGATGACACTTAAATATTGCGTCACAATACCCACATGGTTCTCATCTCACGTGTAAATGCCCCCTTTCTTCTCCCTTCCATTTTATTTATTTATTTTTAAAATATTTTTGAGGTCGGGAAAAAAAAGAAAAAAAAAAAAAAATACAAATTGGCCATTTTATTTCAAATATTTTAAAAACATTTTTTTCTCTTTCAATACGATGAAATTCTAGAAAGATAAATGCCTTCTATTTGGCTTTGTTTTCATCATCATCAACATCATTTTAGCCTTTTTCCAATTAATTGAAATCGGGTACATGAATCCTAGTTCTCCATTCTACTCTATTAAAAATCATATCATCAATGATGCTATAAATCATCATATCTTTTCGAACTACTTTCAACCATGTCCTTTTGAACCTACTTTTTGCCCTTTTCAAAATGACTTTGCTTTATGTTCCCTAATCTCTATCAGACCGATACAAACTTGGAGGCCACTATCACAAAGTTACGACCCCTATAAAAAGTTCTCGATTACCTCCTATTACCATATTCTTGTAGGTTAGAGCCCCAAAAAGTATGGTAGCCTATAGAATTTGGATGTTTGCGGGTCTCCATTAGATGCAGGATTTCTCATGGCTTGGTGCTTGGCAAGGGCCTTGCAATCAACCACTTGTGCAAAAGTGGTATAATCGTTTCTAAGGTATCTTGCAAACAAGAACGTGAATCCATTTCCGATTCAAACTCCAGCAATAGTTATCTTGTCCTTTCCTATGGACTTCTTCAATCTGCAGTGGGTACAGCCGAAATCTATAGAGAATGGACTTTGGGTTGGATCGGGATCCATTTGAAACTTTGGTGAATGAGTTTTTTAGAGATCTGTATCAAAATTTAATGGTGATCATTTGGAATCCTACTCACGTGGGTATGAGAGAGTCTCATAGTATCATTACTATATATATATATATATATATGAAAAACACTACGTAATGCTTATAGGCGAAAATGAACAGTGATTTCGCCTACCCCTATCACCGTCTAAAGTTCATCGCGCGATCACAATTGTCCGGTAGTGTTTCATTTTTCATTTTTTTTTCTACAAATCGAAATGACCTGAAATTTAGAGCGTGTATTCATAAAAAATAGGGTAATCTTTAAAAAATATAAAAAAAATAGTTTACATGAAAAAATTGACCAAAATACCCTTAAAAAGTTTTGGAGGTATTTTGATCAATTTATTTTACACGGATAATTATTTTTATATTTTTATTAAATGCACCTCACTAAGATGTACATACTCTCTGAATTTCAGATCATTCTGATTTATAAAAAAAAATAAAACATTACCAGACAATCGTGACCGCGTGATAAATTTGAACGGTGATGAGAATAAACAAAATCACTATTCATTTTTGCCTATAGGTGTTGAAAGGCTTTCCTATA